GGCTGTAGCGCTGCTGTTCAAGCAAAAGTGCAGAAAAGTTGTTGTAATTATTTTAACAAGCCAACAGTGAGGCTGATGTCCCCCGCCGAAATAGGAAAATAATTAGAGGACACATATAAAAATCAAATTGCGTATCGCTCTGCTTACCCTGAGCAGAAAATGCTCATTATCAAACTTAGTCAAGGTATTACTGTAATGAAACTATACACCAAGTTTCATCAATCTCACTTAATTAGAACTAAAGTTATCGTGTCCCAAAGCATCAACCAATCAAATTGCTTATCTCTGCTTACCCTAAGCGGAAAATGCTCATCTTCGAACTCCATCAAGGCATTGACCTAATCAACACATACACCAAGTTTGAACATTCTAGCTCAATTAGGAAGAGAGTTATCGTGCCCCAAAGTATCAACCAATCAAATTGCTTATTTCTGCTTACCCTAAGCGGAAAATGTTCATTTTCGAACTCCATCAAGGCATTGACCTAATAAACACATACACCAAGTTTGAACATTCTAGCTCAATTAAAAGTTATCGTGTCCCAAAGCATCAACCAATCAAATTGCTTATCTCTGCTTACCCTAAGCGGAAAATGCTCATCTTCGAACTCCATCAAGGCATTGACCTAATCAACACATACACCAAGTTTGAACATTCTAGCCCAATTAGGAAGAGAGTTATCGTGTCCCAAAGCATCAACCAATCAAATTGCTTATCTCTGCTTACCCTTAGCGGAAAATGCTCATCTTCGAACTCCATCAAGGCATTGACCTAATAAACACATACACCAAGTTTGAACATTCTAGCTCAATTAGGAAGAGAGTTATTGTGTCCCAAAAAGTGTGACGGACAGACAGACGGACAGACAGACGGACAGACAGACAGACAGACAGACAGACGGACGAACCCATTTTAATAGTCCCCTGCTTTCTTCGAAAGGCGGGGGACAATAAGAATTATGTACAATATTAATGGGTTTTTTTTACTTTCAATTACAACGTTAGTATGCGAAAAAAAAAACCCTGACATTTGGAATTTGAAATAAAGAGTGAGAAAGAAATGAGGTTTAACGTCCACTCGATACAAACTAGGTCTTTTCGGAACTGTGCGTGCTGTATCGTAAGGTCTGTCATTAAGTCAACTGGCGTGGTTTCGAATCACAGGTTGTACGTGACAAGGAGTAGGGTCGTCAGTCCATGCTCGTGGGTTTTCTCTGGGTCTTTCGGTTTCCTTCCACTGCTAAAGACCCCTACGCACAATCAAATTATGAAATAAAATGGAACCATATGTTAGTCCCGAAAAGACCTAGTTTGTGTCAAGCGGGCGTTAAACTCTCTCTCTCCCCTATGACAAGGTAATTATATTATTCTATTGTTCTGTATAACTTTTTATGTATGTAAAATAATTTATCTTATGTCAACATGATTAATGGATATTTTTCAATTAATATTTAAAAAAAAAAAAAATCTTATTTTGTATATAAAAATAGAAGGAAAAATGTTAAGTGTTAAGTCTGACATAATGACAAATTAGAACCACATTTAGCTCCAGGCCTTGACTGAAAAATAAAATGGATCAAAATGGGAGAGAGAGAGAGAAATGGGGTTTAACATCCACTCGACACAAACTAGGTCTTTTCGGAATAAACATATGGTTCAATTTTATTTCAATAATTCGCTTGTGCGTAGGGGTCTTTAGCAGTGGGTGGAAACCGGAGGTCTGGAGATAACCCACCAAGTTGGACAGGCGACCCTACAACCAGGGAATCGAAACCACGTCAGTTGATTCAATGACAGACTTTATGATACCACGCACACTCGCTAACCATTCTGTCCAACAAGATACTGTTCCTTGTCTGTCCTATTTATATATATATATATAGAACCAGTGGCAGCTAATATTTGAAGAACCACTCCATGGACAAAATTCTACACCTCACATGAAACACAGAAATAGATAAATAAAAAACTTAAAATAGACGATGGATTTTACAGATGAAGCAGATGAAGAAAATGATGAAGCAGTCATTAATTAGGGTGAGAATTATTATAACATAGAAATATATGAATAAAAGATTTAAAATAGACGATGCATTTTACAGACCAGACATTGTAAATTTGTAAATTTATAAGGAAATGATGAAGCAGTCATTAATTAGGGTGAAAATTATTATAACATAGAAATATATAAATAAAAGATTTAAAATAGATGATGCATTTTTCCGACCAGACATTGTACCCCATAAAGGAAATGATGAAGCATTCATTAAGGGCGAGAATTATTATAATATTAATGGGAAAGTTTGTTGATTTATATGATATTGAAACAATGTTGCCTTTTTAGCCATCTCTCATTGTAAGTAATAGATTATATAGAGTATTATTATTATAATGATGGTATGTGTAGTGAGAAACCACACCGTGTTGTATAGTTACACAATATTACATTATTGTATGCATTGGGACCAATTTGTGTCAATTTCTATGTCCCAAATATTACCGATTTAACATGTCATGTCCATGGGTTTGTCGTATTGGTTTCTGTGTTATGTTGTATGTGTCGTCCACGGGTTTGTCGTATTGGATTCTATGTTGTGTTGTACATGTCATCCATGGGTTTGTCGTATTGGTATCTGTGTTGTGTTGTATGTGATGTCCACGGGTTTGTCTTATTGGTTTCTGTGTTTGGTTGTATGTGTCGTCCACGGGTTTGTCGTATTGGATTCTATGTTGTGTTGTCCATGTCGTCCATGGGTTTTTCATATTGGTTTCTGTGTTGTGTTGTATGTCTTGTCCATAGCTTTTTCGTATTGGTTCTGTTGTATGTGTTGTCCACGGGTCTGTCTTATTGGTATCTGTGTTGTGTTGTATGTGTCGTCCACGGGTTTGTTGTATTGGTTTCTATGTTGTGTTGTACATGTCGTCCATGGGTTTTTCGTATTGGTTTCTGTGTTGTATGTCTTGTCAAAAGGTTTGTCGTATTGGTTCTGTGTTCTGTTGTATGTTTTGTCCACGGGTCTGTCCATAGGTTTGTCGTATTGGTTCTGTTGTATGTTTTGTCCACGGGTTTGTCATACTGGCTTTTATTTATTTATGTATATGTGGTTCCTCCGCACTTACTACTAATCGACAGTGTGATCTCGATATGATACGAACCACTTATTGATATCCGACTACAACCACAGGCTGATGATTGTGATAAAAGATGTATTATTTCCTCAAGTCAACTCAGTATTCATTTCAGATAGAAATTCTAGAAAAACCTTGTCACGATTTCCTATGAAAGCCAGCGTAGAAAACAGACAAGTCATCCAAGCCCAGAGTTTACAAAGTATCTCGGACTTAAGTTAAGAATTTACTCAACTTTCAATCACTGTTTATGAGAAATATCTTTGATCCAGAAACACAATACTTTGCACATAGTTTGGTAATGATGTATTTGATACATTAAAACAATAAAAGTTTTATAAAGCGTTATTTTTAAGTTAAATTAAGGCAAACAATGCTTTGTGAACTTGGGATAAGATATTTGTTAAGGCCTACTGCAGATTTTGTCGTAGGTCGCTGAAATGTAAATAAGGTTAGGGCATGTGATTGTTGGCTAGATTGTAGGTTTAGGTTAGGGTAAGCATTGGGGCTATGTCCAGGGTTAGGGTTAGGGCTAGGTTATGGTTAGGGGTTAGGGTTGGGATTAGCGCTAGCCCCTGTTTACATCTTGTGACCTATGACGAAAAATTGAGCTGGCCTTATCATTTAGTACTAACCCCCAAAATATGTAACGAGACCAGACATATTCACAAACTGTTAAAATGTACGGGGGGTTGAATGGTTTGCACGTTGTATCATAACGCCTGTCATTCAGTCAATTAACTGGCGTGGTTACGTTTCCCTTGTTGTAAATTTCAAGGAGTAGGGTTTCCTGTCCAACCTCTTTGGTTTTCTTTGGGTCCTCCGGTTTTCTCCCACTGCTAAAGGCCCCTACGTGCAAGCGAATTATTGAAATAAAATTGAACCATATGTTAGTCCCGAAATGACCTAATTTGTGTCGAGTGGACGTTAAACCTCATTTCTATTTCTCTCTGTTAAAATGTAAGTAGACCATTGACCTCTGTAATGAGACCCCTATGATGGCGAGACATATTAAAAAACCTGTCTATTAAAATGTATATACACGGACAATGACCTCTGTCATGAGACCACTACAGGGGCAGATACAGAAATTTTTTGGAGGAGGGGGTTTGCCAGATTCCTGTTAAGAAAATTTGACAGTTTCGATTCCCTGGTTGTACGTGAGAAGGAGTAGGGTCGCCTGTCCAATCTCGTGGGTTTTATCTGGTTTCTCTGGTTGTACGTGACAAGGAGTAGGGTCGTCTGTCCAACCTCGTGGGTTTTCTCTGGGTCCTCAAATTTCCTCCCGCTGCTAAAGACCCCTACACCCAAGTGAGTTATGTAAATAAAATTGAAGCATATGTTAGTCCGAAAATGACCTAGTTTGTGTCGAGTGGACGTTAAACCCCATTTCTCTCTCTCTCTCTCTCTCTCTCTCTCTCTCTCTAATTTCCTCCCGCTGCTAAAGACCCCTACACCCAAGTGAGTTATGTAAATAAAATTGAAGCATATGTTAGTCCGAAAATGACCTAGTTTGTGTCGAGTGGATGTTAAACCTCATTTCTCTCTTGTTAGAAAGATAAAGACCAAGACCAAGAAAGAGAGAGATAATAATCCACTGAACTATATGTTAGTCCCAAAATGACCTAGCCTGTGTCAAGTTGACATTAAACCCCATTTCTCTCTCTGTGGTTCCGCCACTATATATCCGAACCCACAGTTTATATCGTTATAAGAACTATGTATAATTGTGTCGAGTTGCCATCAGGAAATCACCAATTTTACACACCGTTCTCAAATGTCATATAATTTCAATAAGTACTCGCCAATCACTGTTCCTTTTAACTCACCAATCATAAGGTCAAAATTAATGTAACCTTTAACCTTTGACATATTGTAACATTTTCTCTGAGTGAATTAATCAGCAATGGCCATTCTATTTATTTTATAAAAAGGTATTTATGATTATTATTTGATAATGGTTACATATTATATGCGGATCAGCTGTTCGTTTTATAGAAAGATGAAAAGGGGTATATAGCATCCTACTGTTCTACTCCGAACTGGGCTAATGACGATGGGCATACAGTGTTCAGTGAGAGAATTTTTGCCCCTGACAGCGGCGTTGATGATTGCATGATACATAAGCTGTTTAGTTTTCATACAAAGATGAAATGAAATGGTGTTTAATGTCATACTATTCTTCTCCGACTGGGCTAATGACGACAGGCATACAGTGTGCTGTGAGAGAAAGTTTTGCCCCGGACAGCAGCGTTGATGATTGCTTGCATGATACATCAGCTGTTTAGTTTTCATAGAAAGTTGAAATTTTACGAAATGAAATGGGGTTTAACATCCTACTTTTCTGCACCAGCTAGGCTAATCAAGACCAGGCATACACCAGGGGCCTGTTTCATGAAATTTTAACTAAGATAAAATCCAAATTTTAGTAATTTGATTGGATAATATTAGATTGATTTTAGTGCTTAGCCAATCAAAATTGAAGTATCTACTAAAATTTGGATTTTATCTTTAGTTAAAATTTCATGAAAGAGGGCCCAGGTGTTTTGTTTGATATAATTGAACCATTTTTGGACAAATATTCGTTTTAAAGATTCAATTTTCACAATATTGTACTTTGCAAGATATTAACAATACTCAAATGAAGGTCATCTGGAAAAAATTTGAATTAACCCAATTTCATAAATGAAAAAAAAAATTATGTTTCAGAATGAACTTTCATAATGTGTAGTTTATAAAGTATTTTAATTCAATCTCGCCAATGGAGGCGGGTTGGATGGCCAAATGGGTAGCACGTGCGCGTTGTATCATAAGGTGTGTCATTGAGTCAACTGGTGTGGTTTTAATTCCCCGGTTGTACGTGACAAAGAGTAGGGTCGCCTGTCCAACCTCATGGGTTTTCTCTGTGTTCTCCGGTTTCCTCCCACTGCTAAAGAGCCCTACACACTGAGTGGGCGTTAAACTCTCTCTCTCTCTCTCTTTCTCTCTCTCTCTCTCTCTCCCTTCAATGACAATCAGCTGGAGTTAATTTCAATTGACACAGTTTCATTAAATGAAATAAAAAAATCAACATACTTCTTGCCGGAAAATATAAAACATCCCACGATGGTATCAATATCCTGACACTGCCATTTTTGTCTGTGAATATAAATGCCTGTTTTAGTTGTATATATATTATTGTCAAGGATCTTGTTTTAGGAAGTTATGATGTAAACAGAAGACAATAGGAAAGACTGTTTCTTGTTAATATATTGCCAGGAATATTCTATAAATAAATATATTATTATGTTGGTACCATTTAAAGCTCTACACACGCAAGCGAATTATTGAAATAAAATTGAACCATGTGTTAGTCTCGATATGACCTAGTTTGTATCAAGTTGACATTAAACCCCATTTCTCTCTCTCTCCCTTTTAAAGTTTGGCATTGCCAATTTTTTTATGGTATCTAACGAAATGGTATGAAATGATATCTGCACTATGCAGGCTAATAAAAAACGGGCCTACGCCATAAAGTGTGCTATGAGGGAAATTTTGCCCAAGATAGTGGCATTGTGATCTACTCTTATTCCAAATTCCAACTGTCAAGGGTTAATTTATGTGTACACCAAAAAGTACATAGGAAATTTTACCCAGACATGGCGCGATGGCCTACTCTTATATCAAATTCCAGACGGCCCATGGATCTTTTACATGCCCGTTAATGTGTCACATCCGAACGACTAATCAGCTGTCATTGTCAGGCCTTCCGTCCTGTATCACATCCCAATGAACTACCGAGCCAGTGTGTGATACTCACTTAGCCAATGTGGCTTCCTGATTGAACATATTAAATACAATCTGGATGACAATACAATCTCTCTCTCTCTCTCTCTCTCTCTCTCTCTCTCTCTCTCTTTCGACTATGAAATAAAGAAGTATATGGTCCAGTGTATATATAGACTTACATATACGCGTTGCGGACCATTTTTGTCTATTTCTAGGTCCCAAATATTAGCGATTTAGCTCCTTTAAAATTTTAAATTCGACCATGAAATGGAGAAATATAAGATCCAGTGTATATATGTAGTGTGACCCATTTGTGTTTATTTCTAGGTCCCAAATATTAACGATTTAGCTCCTTTAAAATTGGGGGGGTTGGATGGCCGAATGGTTAGCGTGTGCGCGCTGTATCATGAGACCTGTCATTGAGTCAACTGGCGTGGTTTCGAATCCCCGGTTGTACGTGACAAGGAGTAGGGTTGCCTGTCCAACCTTGTCGGTTTTCTCAGGGTTCTCCTGTTTCCTCCCACTGCTAAAGACCCCTACACACAAGCAAATTATTGAAATAAAATTAAACCATATGTTTGTCCCGAAATAACCTAGTCTGTGTCGAGTGGACGTTAAACCCCATTTCTCTCTCTATCTCTCTCCTTTAAAATTTTAAATTCGACCATGAAATAGAGAAATATATGATCCGATGTTATAGTGTTACATATATAATATTATACAATACAAATCATTGTCAAGATCTTGGTATATTGCCAACACTACTTATAGTTTAAACTCTTTCTCGTATTGTTCCCAGCAAACTCTTAAAGTATTACAATCTGTTATACTTATGTCGTAAACTGAGAGTATTTAAACGACATCTTGACGAACACAAGTGCGCGATCATCTACTTTTCTATATCAGCGCATTTTGTCAACAGCGATTTTTATTTAAAGTAACGAACGCATGATTTTTAGATTTAGTCATTAGTATTATTAATGGAATTTTTAAATTTGGTTACTGACGGGCCACTTGGTGTTTGTAAGTGAAAATCTAGAAAGTTCAACAGTGAGAGAGAGAAATGGGGTTTAACGTCCACTTGTGGTTCTAGTTTGTCATTATGTAAGACTTAACACTTAACATTTTTCATTTTTACTTCTATTTTTACATACAAAATAAAAATTATTTTTATTAAAATAATAATTGAAAAACATCCATTAATCATGTTGACATAAGATAAATTATTTTACATCCATGATAAGTTATACAGAACAATAAAGAGGGAGAGAGAGAGAAATGGGGTTTAACATCCACTCGACACAAACTAGGTCTTTTCGAGACTAACATATGGTTCATTTTTATTTCAATAATTTGCTTGCATGTAGGGGTCTTTAGCAGTGGGAGGAAACCAGAGGACCCAGAGAAACTCCACGAGGTTGGACAGATGACCCTACTCCTTGTCACGTACAACCGGGAAATCGAAACCACACCGGTTGACTCAATGAAAAACCTTATGATACAACACTAACCATTCGGCCATCCCCCTAGAAAGTTCAAGTAAAATCTTTAATAAACTATAACACCATGGACTTTATAATACATGGACTGGTAACAGCTTAATGACGACCTAACCAGCGATGGGTGCCCTGCGGTAATTTGAGACAGTCACTCACGATTAAACGGAAGTTATTAACAAGTCATGTCCATATTATAAGGTCCATGATAATATATATATAGAAAAATGATAATAATATATATATTTAGGTGACATTTTATAGAATATGCTCTTTATATTACCTTAATTCTGACGTTTAAATATATTCATAGAATTTTTCCTCGGTAGTGCAGCATGGAGAGAGAGACTGGCAAGGAACAGCACACAGTTAGGATAAAAAGTATCCAAGGTCCCTTGTAGACATTGGTCTGTACGAGAAAGAACCCTTCACAATTTTTTCTGACGTGGTTTCCCCTTGTCAGTGGTGCAGAACGGAGGGCCTGACAAGAACAGCTGTCTAGTCCTTCGGATGAGACGAAAAACCGAGGTCCCGGGTATATATTTGAATGCACGTAAAAGATCCCCTGGCAGTTGGAATTTGATATAAGAGTAGGCCATAGTGCCGCTGTCCGGGCAAAATTTCCCTCATAGCACACTGTATGGCGTATGCCCGTCTTCATTAGCCCAGTATAGGAGCAGAACAGTAGGACATTAAACCCCATTTCATTTCATTTCATTTCCCTTCACAATTTGAATTTGACGAAGAGTAAACACAATCTGGTTAAAACACAGATCCTATTTCGTTTCGTTTTTTATTGTTCAAAATTTCGTTTTACTTGTCTTTACTACACTAGGATCTAGAAGAGTTGTTATGTAACCCGCGTTCTGGATGATGTGAGGGATTAGCCAATGAAACGGTCTGTTACAGCAAGTTTTTAGCGTGAGTTTCACGGAACTGTAGGTAACCCACTAGAAACATCAACGCTCATTGGTTAATCAGATGTCTGACATCATAGGGTCAAAAGCCGCTCGTATGACCTCTGACGCGACCTCCCACTACAACTGGTCAGATCTTCATGTAGTATAAGAATTGGAGTAAACATAAATGCTGCTGTCCGGACAAAAATATCCTCATCATACACTGCATGAAGTATGGCCATCTGCTTTCACCAGGTTGATTCAGAAACGTTAAACTCTATTTCGTTTGATTCCCTATTTGTGAGAGCGGTCCAGTTGGTGGAGATTCCCTATTTGTGAGAGCGGCCCAGTTGGTGGAGAAATCGAGAATGTTAAACCTCCATTTCATTTACTAATTGCAGGAGGACGAGTCTACTGTCAACACAACTCGTTTTGTGCCCTTTAAATCCTGAAATATAAAAATATAAACAATGTCTATAAGGTTAACCAATTTAATTTCTTTTTTTGTTCTTCAGAGTCTTTATCAATAAATGGCTTACTCAATTCTTGTGCGTGAGGTTTTATTAAATATTTGGAACTAAAAGATTTTAAGAAGAGCAACTACCGTAAGTATGTTTTGTTTTCAAATTACATGTAGTTTTTTTTCGAGAAGAAATTGGAGGTTGAGTTGGTATTTCAGAAGAAGAGAAATTCAAATTGGTATCAATCAGGATAGGTTTTGATTCAGTCCAACGATTATTTGATCCTCAGAAGCATGAGGTTCTTTTGGTAATTGCTACGTAGTTCTAATAAGTACGTATCTTTATTAATGCAATCTTAATATATTTTAATTACTGTAAGAACCCTTGCTTCATTTGTCATTTAATAAATAACATTTTACACCAAACTTCTTGTGTTTCTGTGTTGTGTTCTATAGTATAGAGAGGACAAATTGGAGTGGCCTATAATACGACGAACCCGTCTGACGATGAATATGTATAACGATTGACATAACAATTGATCTATGTGTAATAAAAATAAAACAAAGAACAATAGAAATAGAAGGAAATGTAGACCAAAACTTTATATCAATTAACTCAGATCTTGTTGAAAATCAGAACAAAATGGGCTTAACATCCACTTAACGCAAATTTAAGATGATCTAGTTTGTGGATTTAAATCTCTCTCTCTCTCTCTCTCTCTCTCTCTCTCTCTGCCCAGCATGCTCATTCACTAAACATCCCTGAAAATCAATGAATTAGCTCAGATCTTGAATATTTTTCTGGATTGGTTTCCCCTTGTCAGTGATGCAGGACAGAGGGCCTGACAAGGACAGCTGTCTAGTCGTTTGGATGGGATGAAAAACCGAGGTCCCATGTATACATTAATGTGCACGTAAAAGATCCCTTGGCAGTTGGAATTTGATATAAGAGTAGACTATAGTTCCACTGCCCAGGCAAAATTTCCCTCATAGCACACTGTATGGTGAATGCCTTATATTAACAGAATAAGAAATTAATTTTTTAGGTGGTGGGGGTGTTTGACGTGCCCTTACGGTCCCTACCGGGAATCGCCACTATGTACTTATTACTACCATTATCGCAAAAACATAACACCAACACTTGTGATTGTTATTCATTAAAATTGAGGGGAGGGGGGAGGGGCCCTTCGCTAGGAGCACAAAATTGGGGTTTCATTGGTAATTTGTAGCACACATCTGGACCCAAATATAACAATAAATGAAATGGGGTTTAACGTCCTACTGTTCTGCTCCGAACTGGGCTAATGAAGACGGGCATACACCATACAGTGTGCTATGAGGGAAATTTAACACATAATAAGTGAATTTTTTAGGGGGTGTGGGGGACGTGCCCATGGAGTCCCCGTCGGGAACCGCCACTACATTCGACACCTATTTACCTATTACTACCATTATCGCAAATTGGTGGGAAGGGGTCCTTCACTACGAGCTCAAAGTGTGCTATGAGGGAAATTTAACAGAATAAGAACTGAATTTTTTAGGGGGTGTGGGGGACGTGCCCATGGAGTTCCCGTCGGGAACCGCCTCTACGTTCGGCACCTATTTACCTATTACTACCATTATCGCAAAAACATAATATAATTTCCAGCCTTTAATCAATTCAATACTTGGAGAGGAAAGGACGCCTGGTACCAGTTATTCTAGTGTTGATATAAACTCAATGTACCTGTAGTCCTGGTCAAAGTTTTAGGCTCAATTACCAAGTTATAAAATCATTAAAGAGACACTTTCAACCCGAGAAAATGTCAAGTTGAAGTTTCTATTAAGTGAAAATATTATGTTGCTGGGTTTTTTTTGTCAAGAGGAAAATATTTAATAAATTTTGAGGGTTCTGGGAATTAAATATGTTGTATTTTAAGTCTTGACGTAAGTTGAGCCGAATAGATAAACTTCTATATTTGGACGGCACCAGAGAATAGGACAACAATTGTTGGTTTATTTTTGTCCTGTATAAGTATCCTGTTCTTGTTGTTGTAACTTTTATGCTCTATGTACATCATATACATCCAACGTCGTGGGTTTCTCCGGGTTCTCCAGTTTTCTCTCACTGCTAAAGACCCCTTTGCGCAAGCAAATTATTGAAATAAAATTGAACCGTAGTAAGTTCCCTATTGACCTAGTTTGTGTTGAGTGGACTTAAACACCTCTCTCTCTCTCTCTCTCTCTCTCTCTCTCTCTCATATATAGACCTTTCAGTTGACAGCCACCCAGGTGATTCTGGTAGAAACGGGGGTTGAAAAATCTTGTGGTTTGTCAGAGAACATGACAAGACTGGATCCAATGATAATCTAGTTGAAAATCTATTTCCCATGGCGCTTAACTACTGTGACGTTTTCTGCCTAATTCCAAAAGTCAAGTGGGTTTTTTTTATGCACACCAACAACACCAACGGCTAGACATCACATTTTTATCGTGTCAGAACGACTAGAAAACATTTCCCTTGACAGCCAGACAAGTGCTACCAATTGGAAGAGGGCTTGAGAAATGAGAAATGCTGAGATTTGTCAGAGAAAATGACCAAATTCGAACCCAAGGCAATGTTGTCCACAATCCAGTTTCCTTACCCCGCCCCCTAGTGTCTGTAATAAAGACGGAATTTCAGGCGGCAATCTTGTCCACAATCCAGTTCCCTTACTGGTCGAATACCACAGCCCCCTAGAACATGTATTAGATGAAGTTAGAATTTCTGGCTTCTTTTATGATATGATTGGCTCAGAGATGCTTGGGTGACGCTACACCTATTTTTGTTCAACTTCTGTCCTGGATTGATTTAAAGTTGGCAACCATTATCCGGAAACGTGCGGCCAGATTTCTACAATTTGAAAGAAAGTATATAAAAAACGTGTGTTAATGTGTGCTATATTGCTAGATAAACTTACTTTGTCAATATGGTTTGGTCGTCTTGGTGACATTCTAGCTGCTACCAATTTTATACGACAAAATGGTCATAGGATATAGTTAACGGTCTCTAATAATATTAATAATAACGTAAACATATGGAATTCATATTTATTTCCATTATGAGCAAATAAATAACACATGCTCCCCACCCCCATCCCTTTCTTTAAGGTAGAAAGGTTGCAGGAGTTCCCCCAGGAAACTGTTAAAAGATTTTTAGATTTGAGAATCATGCCTTTTGTTCTGTCATTATTTTCAATCCATTTGCAATAAGTTCATGATCGAGGCTCTAGAAAGGTTGGAGAGGTTCCTCAAGGAAACTGTTAAAGAGAGAGAGAGGGAGAGAGAGAGTTTAAAGTCCACTCAACACAAACTAAGCCATTTCGGGACTAACATATGGTTCAATTTTATTTCAATAATTCGCTTGCACGTGGGGATCTTTAGAAGTGGAAGAAGGAGGACCCAGAGACGAGGTTGGACAGGCGACCCTACTCCTTGTCACATACAACCGGGGAATCGAAACCACACCAGTTGACTCAATGACAGACCGTATGTTACTACGCACACACGCTAACCATTCGGCCATCCAACCCCTTAGGTAACAAACAGAACCCATGACAGTCGGAATTCGAAATATGAGTAGGCTATAGCTCCATGACGGGCAAATTTCTTTCATAGCACACTGTAAGGCCTGAAGATGGCCCATCTTCAATAGCCCAGTTGTGCAGGGGGGGTGGGGGGGGGGGGGTTGGTTGGCTGAATGGTTAGCTTGTGTGTGTTGTATCATAAAGTCTGTCATTGAGTCAGCTGGCGTGGTTTCGATTCCTTGGTTGTACGTGACAATGAGTAGGGTCGCCTGTCCAACCTTGTGGGTTTTCTCCGGGTCCTCCGGTTTCCTCCTGCTGCTATAAACCCCTCCATGCAAGCGAATTATTGAAATAGAATTAAACCATGTTAGTCCCGAAATGACCTAATTTGTGTCGAGTGGATGTTAAACCCCATTTCTCTCCCTCCAGTTGTGCAGATAAATAAGATGTAAAACCCCATTTAATTTCACATTTTATTCCCAGTTAATAAGTTTTTAATGATTTATTGATGTTGTCATATTGTCATATTAATATCTTTTCAAGTTGTAACATTTCCTGCTCAACAGAATCTTTCTATAAAATTATTTTTCAATATGGGTTATAAAAGTTATGATATTATGTTGATATGTTTGCATGGAGTCTATTATAAAATAATTATAGTAGGGGCCAAATCAATTTAAATTTAAATTTTACCTTTTCTTGGTCCTTATCGATAAATAACACACTTAGTTCTTGTGTGCAATATTTTGTTAGAATTTCCAAACTAAAAACTTTTGAGAAGAGCTACTTTTTGTTTTTGAATTATTTTTTTTCCGAGAGAAAGAGAGTAAGAAATGGGGTTTAATGTCCACTTGACACAAACTAGGTCATATCGGGACTAACATATGGTTTAATTTTATTTCAATAATTCGCTTGCGCGTAAGGGTCTTTAGCAGTAGGAGGAAACCAGAGGACCAGGAGAAAACCCATGAGGTTGGACAGGCGACCCTACTTTTTCCTGAAGAAATTGTAAATGAAATGGGGTTTAACATCCTAATGTTCTGCCCCGAACTGGACTAATGAAGACGGGCATACACCATACAGTGTGCTATGAGTGAAATTTTGTCCGGACAGCGGCACTACAGCCTACTCTTATATTGAATTCCAACTGTCAAGGAATCTTTTACATGCACGCCAATGTGTACAAGGGACCTCTGAACGACTAGACAGCTGTCCTTGTCAGGCCCTCAGTCCTTCACGTTTAAGGGCAGCTTTCGCTCCTGCTCCTCTCGACGCACGTTGGCTTTCCTTCGAAGGAGTCATTAAAGACTCCTGCAAATTAGCTAAATCTCTCTCCTAAATATTGAGATAAATAAATTACTTTCAGTTTTTGTTTACTTTTAAACTGCATATATTCAAGGTATCAGGAGCTTTTTATGGCTCCCGCACAATTTTATAAACATGAAGGACTGGGCCCTCCGTCCTGAATCACTGACAAGAACAACCACGACGGAAAGAAGAAATTGTAGTTTAAATTTTTAATCGGTGATTGTGAGGGACATAAAATCAAATTGTTGTGGCCTAGAGAATGAAATATATAGTTTATGGTATTATAAAGTGG